CATGCACAATAACTCAGAGTTGCTTTCATTGTAATTGCTGTCCAATTAATTAATAACACTGGATTAAAAACTACAGAGGAACTCTAATTGGTTCGGACCATGCCATATATTATTTCTCTCATTTTTTTGGTGAAGTGTGAGAACCCAAAATAAACCCAGGCACCCTGGACGATCTGTAAAGTTCTCCTTAGCAAGACTGATCTTTGATGTACTTTTTCTGGAGATCATGAAGATTTCTTATTCTGATGACTAGTGGGATTTTTTTTTTTTTTTCTGGATACAATGAATATGATTTATGTTCCTTTACTGCACAGGTAAGATCCTTTAAATTCTCCCTCCGGAGACCAATATGGTTATGGAAAAGAATACTGCCTGGTACCATAATGGCATGGGAGAGAAACTGAAACAGGTGGATGCCCCACAGCAGCGCTCATAGCAAAACAACTAAGAATAGTAATAGTGGAGCAGCACATCTGCTGTTGACTTTGCTGTAACACAACCTTTCCAATGCTATCTTCAAATCTATGCTTGTGCCTAGTTACCCTGTAACCCAGATTGTATCTTTCTCTTCTTGGTTTTTTTTCCTTTCCTTCATGAGTAGGCTTCTTCCTGAAGTGTAATTGTGGTATCAGCCTGAAGGGCTGAAATTGCATCTTGAGCTGCACCAGGCAGTACGTCTATCTGATTGATTATCATAAAGCAGAGTGGCAGCAGGAGGCAGTCATTGGCACCGAATGTTCTAAGAAGGCCTTTTTTGTACTGAGATTAAGCTATCATGAAATATTTACGCTCACTTCTGCACGTGCTTTACTGTTGGGTGGATATGTGCTTAGAAAGAGTTTGCTTAACCAATATAATACTGCCATCAGTGTTATGATGCAGAAGCTAGTGAGTTCATGCCAACAGTTAATTTTTGTTCTTAAATAGGGCTTTTTACACTTATGCTTTGTCATTACCTTTGTGTGCATTATTTCTATACAACCATGACATATATATTTACATGATCTACCTGTACTTACTGCATGTGGTTCTATGAGAATTTCATCTGATGCAATATAATTCATGTTGAAACCCTCAGTTCATAAAATAAAGTAGTAATAATGATATTATGTGGGACTTTTACAATTGATTCATCTTTTCAATGAAATGTAAAAGAAGTCCTCTACCACAAATTACTATAAATGGAAGAAAATGTCCTAAAATACAGATATATGAGGACTTTCCTCAAACCTTCTCCTTTCTCAGGATTGCAGAGAGCACAACTTGCTTAATTTGCCACTGCAAACACTGGCCACTGCAGAAACTGCAGAATGGTTTTGCAATATTTTGTACTTTAACATGAATTAGATGTAAGGGTCAAAGAAATTAACACCAGAATACCATTTAATCTAGGACATTAATCACTGTTAACTCGTCTAATTTTACAATTAAACTGAATATTTAATCTGTCAACCCTTCAGAGTATCCAATCCTTTTGTTCTATCTCAGCATTTTTTTGGTTTTATTTAGAGAAAAGTTTATTATCAGGAAGCATGTCACTGACCTATTAATGTAATCAATTCCATTTAATTTTAAAACTATTCTCATGCTTTACTTTACAAAGTAGAAAATTAGATATGATTAGATAATATTTACAGTTTGGTTAGACTGTATGGAATTTGAAATGCTACCAGGAACATGAAACAATGTTGTTCTGCAAAACATTATCTTAGGGTCTAAAACCAAGCCAGAGATGTGGCAAATAAAGATGACTAAAGAATGATATGACACAAAGCCTTTATCTCTCTATTGCTGTTTCCATTTCAGCTGATATTAATAGCAGCTGAATAATTATCACAGGGATACGCAGCAGGCGGCTGCAAGTGAAGGAATGTGCGGTCCAGCTACAGAAATGTCTGTGCTAAGGGTGCTGCTCTGTATGACACCAACTTGAATAACCAGAGCACAGTACGGCATAGCCAGGACCCTCGTATACTTTGCTGTACCTAACAAGGTTCTCTTTCTGATCAGCAATGAAATGAGATAGCCAGGTTATGTGAAGTCTGTTCGCTGATGCCCTCCAGAAGATAAAGAAATCCACACCCCTGAGCTAAAACTTCACCAATGTAAATCACCCAGAGAAAAGAAGATTTCTTCCAAACTGGCAGCACCTCCCAGCATGCAGCCTGGCACACCAGGCTGTGGGTAATGACACCACAGTTTGCAGAGGACTAACTGATGAAGAAAAAAAAAGTATTTTTCACATTGATATGACAAACACTACAGTAAGTATGCTTTTCCACAAAACCAGAATACAATCTTTGCACTACTGGACAGAAAACAAAATTAATGAGTCATACCACACATATGGAAATGCCAGTTAAAGTTGGTCTTGTAAGCAGGTAAGCATAATTTCATGTGTGTAACTACATTTCATTTTAAAGGACAGTTTCTGAACATGGAAATGTAGCAGCAGAACAAGTTTCTCTAGTGTTTGAAAAATAAAAGGACTATTTGTAAACATCAAAGGTTGAAAACAACTGTATGAAAATACAAAGAGTAAATAAGAATTGTTTCTACCTTGCCACAGAGGGTTATAGAAAGTTGCAAAGTATAAAATACTGTATTTTTGAATAAGTAAACTGTGTAACTTGTTCAAGTAAGGGGAGACTACCACTAAATTCAAGCCTTTCATGTTGTTACTTTTCTCCAGGAACACCATAATATCTTTTGAGGGAAGTTCCCAGTCTTCCTTCTAGCATTTGTGTATTTTTGAGTGATATTAAGGTTGACAGATGAATATTTATTGTTGGCAAATCCAACCAACTTCAGCAAAACAATAAATTCCAACAAAAAGCTCACAAGAATTCTGCACTTGAGTTATGTTTAGCAATTATTAATAACATATTACGTTTAAGAAATGCTGTTTCTAGTTCAAGAAATGTTAAATACAGGAAAAGATCCAGCATCTGAGACTGTCAGCTGGCTCACTACTGGAAATTACAATTCTGAATAGTTCAGGCACCATTAAAGAAGAGAATAATACCACACAGTCGTGTTTCTTTCCCTTCCTTTTCCTCCTGTCCCCTATATTAAATCAGAAATCAGTGAAGGATATGACCTCATAGGCAACCTATATTCTTCTTCTGCCAATGCAGACTTATTCTCTATGATCTTTTCAAAGCCTGTCTTTAAAATATTTTGAAGGTTTTTCCTTTGTTAATTTTGATACATTATTTTACAGTCTAACAGCTCCCTGTTAGTAAGGTTTTCCTGATAGTCAGCCTGAAGCTCTCTCTCATAATTCATTCCCTTAACTGTAAATTTCTTTATTCAGATTCAGTTCTATTTATGCCATACCAGACTGCACCATTCTTCCATTATTATAATGTCATGTTTTGAGCTAAAGTATAATTTTTCTTTGAATTATTTCTCTTACTGAAAGGTAAAATCATATACTGAAGTGAATACCTACAGTACAAATTATTTTTGCCCCAAAATATCTGTCTGCAAATTTCTGAGGTTTATGTTATTTTCTTTTCTGTGTGTTTTCATAAGCCTTTATAAAAAAGAAAGACTGTCTTTTTGTTTTCCTCGATCTTTATACTGCCTACTTATTCATTACTACCCCTGAAGTTTATTAGGCATGCTTGCTTTCTCTTCTAGACTATGAAGATATTTAAAAAATACACGGCTCTACACTATACAAAAAATACTGTAATAGGACAATCTGTCCTCTTCATACTTTTAATATCTTGACTTTACTTGGCTTATTCTTCCTCTCCCTGTAGTCCGTTCCTATCAAAACTATTTAAATAAGTTTTGTGGAATTACATTTATCTTCCTAATATATGTTATTTGGAAGTTTGGGACTACTACTTAGTCTTAGTTAACTCTGCTCTTGAGGGTACACTATGTCTCAGCATTTTTCCATTTTACTATAACATCAAATTAGACTTTAATGTTAAGTATTGCAGTTATGGCCTGACATTTACACAGTTACCTTTTCCCTCCTTTTCCACATTTTCTATTGAGTTGTTGAATGTAATTCACAATCAATCACATTTGGAAATTCACACCTATAAATGAAACCTTTTTTTTTTTTTTTTTTCCATTTAAGCTAAAGCCAACCTTATTTTAAATCATTGTAGAAAGTAAAAAAAATAAAATTAAAAGTGTCATTCTTCTGTCACTGCAACTGCACATATGGCTTGCCAACTCTTTATGGAATGATCAAAATGAAGCAAATGTCTAGAATTCCAGACAATGAAGGCAAAATTCTTCCTCAAAACTACAGTCAATTCACAGTTACTCCCGGTTCATCCAAGTTGCACGCTCTGTATTAACCCAGACTGACTACAGCAGCCATAACTGGTTTGGAGGCAACAATGTGCAAACACATGGACAAGGCCACATCCAAAGTTGTACCTGGTGCAATGAGCCCCTGTGGAATGCAGTGCACCATACACAACCAGCTGGAGAGACCTGAGCCAGTTTAATGGAAGAAGGACTAGCTGGGCTGACTTTGCACACAGACACTTCATCATCTCCATGCCTTAACTTTTACCACACCCCACCACACCTGTATTACCAGGATCTAAAATCCCGTTATTACAATAGGGGAAAGTTCACTGATACTGAACTGGTGATAAAATTAAATAAATAAATAAATAAATGCTAATAGTTTTCCCCTTCCCCTCTTCTTTGTGTCCTATTACCCCATTTCTTATAGGAAAACCACAGGCAGAATATGTACTTGATTCACTGCACTGGGAGTCTTCGTCAAGTTCTCTAATACGTAGCTGAATGCACTTTCTCTGCACTGGGAATGCCAGTGTCACAAATACAACAGTGCGGTTTCATTTAATGTAATGCTGCCAACTGAGTAAGTTCTAAGAGATAAGAAGTACTTCTTTTCAGCCCCATTCCTCTAATCTTAAATTTAAGGGAAAAAAAAAGTCCTACTATAACAAAATAAAACCAGAACGAATTAAATTAAATAATGCTTTGCTAACACTTACAGTCCATAAATCTGTGGAGCAATTTCCAGTCGGTTCAGATGCATGTACAGCTCAATATCATGTTTCTTCAGCAGATGATCCTGAATTTGGTTTACCTTTGCTACAATTGCAATAGATGGGCCTAAGTCCTGTGGCCTTGCAAATGGCATAGGTGTAATCATCACATCTTTCTCCTGCAGACACAGAAAACGGGGAAAAAAGAACATCCCATGAAGTCTTATTGTCTACAAGAGATTTGTTTTGTTGTAAACACTGGCTTCCAAATAAACATAAAAATATTAATAAGTAATTTCTTTTCCAGCTAAAAAGAAATCTCAAACATCCACTTCTGTGAAAGGTATTGGGGGATTCCCCTTTCCAAGCATGCCAAGGTTCAACCCCTTGTTCTGCATGTCAGTTTTTATGTGTGTGCTTTACTTTTCATGCTCTGATAAAGTGTTGACAGCTTTATTTTACCTTTAATATCAGCAGCCTGAGTCAGTCCAGAGCAAAGCAGATGAATGGTAACTTAGTAGAGAACATACGCCCTCACAGGACAATAAATTGCATACCAAATAGTAAATAACTTATTTTCAAACCATCATTTCTAAACAGGCTTCTCTTGCCTAGAAAAACTGGTGGCTGTACCTCAAAATCTACAAAACTTTGACAAAGCATCAGAAAATTTTTAAAACAAAAAAGAAATAGAACAGTGAGATTAACTTGATGGTTAGAAGGTAGTCAGTTTGACCTATAGGTTGTGCAAACTATGTCATGATCTAGAACATGACACACACCAAGTGAAAACAGAGGAAGAAAACTACCGGAGTATTAGCATCCTTGAACCTGATACTGCTTTAAGTTTGTTCTTCTTGCAAAAGAGTGAAATATCATTGAAAAAAAAGACAGAATGTTAGAAAGAAATGCAGCAAGTAATGAATGCCACTGAGTAGGAAACATGTAAAAAGGAGGATGAGAAATGAAAAATAAGAAAGAACAAGTTAAATCTATCAAGAGAAAGACTGGGGAAAGGGAAATGGAGAATTAAGCCATCAGGAAAAATGTTGGAATTATAAAAGAGGGAAAATTGTAACAGTAAGAAGAGAAGATTTTGCAATGACTTTGTTGCAATCTGTCATCATGGCTCTCTGACCTGAAAGCTTCACTTTAAAAAACAGTTATTGTTTTTCTTCCCTTTGGTTCAGTATATTGATAGAGAAGCATTATCAAGGTCAAAGGGTTAATACTTTCAGAAGACTTCATTACAGCTTAAACTGTTGAAAGACAAATTCACTTGGTTCAATACAGTGAAAAGCACATTATTTTTAACATTCAATAACAAAGAAAGGGGTTTTTTTTGTTGTATAAACTACTGCCAAGGTTGTTTCCTATGGTTATAGTCCCTCTATAACATCATTCATTCGGTATCAGCATTTTAAGAGGAAGGAAGAGAAGTACCCATATTTCACAATCATTTACAACATGGATTAACATTCAAGTGGGCTGTGAACATTTGATAAATTCTACTAAACCCCCTATTTTTTATGTTGATCTTCTTTGCCTGAAATATTTTTTCTTAATTATTCCATTTCTGTACTGCATAAAATATTGTATATGCTGAGCAGTGATTTCAGGTAAAATGTTTCTACTTAAGGATCAGATTGATCATAAATTTTATCTTAAAATCTGCTTAATTGTTGCCTTGCTATGGCAATTGCAGCAAAGGGACTGATCTGTCTATTATGGTGCGGTGGTTTTGCCATGCTATTGTGGTACCAAGACATACTCATTTAAAATGCCCTAGCAAATTGCTTGACAAAAGCTCCTTCAGATTGTCAAATAAAGCTCACTGGAATGGCATCCTTTCATTCAAAATCTTTTCCATTCTACCAAACAGAAATTTAAAATATCTGGAATGTCGCTACTTACTTATATACTAAAGTTCTTCACAGCTGCAGGTACAATGAGAAAGGATATTTCTCCTACCTCCTTTTTAAATTATTCTAGTAACTTCTTTATTATCAAATCAGGCAGCCTTCTTTTCCCCCTGATGTTTGTTTCTCCATTATATGGCTTTTCTTGTTGTTGTTTCAGACCCATTTCATTATTTTCTTGGTCACGTGCTAGAATGCAAAATACTGAAAACCAGTATCCACTGATTTCCTTCTAACCTATACAGAAAAACACTCTTAAATGCCAGTCTATTGCATTTTTTTGCATAAACATATCAATTTACTTTTGAAACTAATAACAAAAGTCTGTAACTCTACATATACAAAGACTGTGCATGTTCCATCAGCTGGTACACGTCTGGGGTATGAACTTTATTCTTGTTTATTCAAGTTGAGTTTAACTTGAGCTTGACCACTGCATGCACTCGTAACTCTGATGACTCAAAAGATCTGCATTTTTAAGTTTTTCTTGGTTATAGGCATAGATTCTTGTATAGAAATCTCAACATTAGAATCTTTAACTTAGTTGAACTTGCAATATGAGAAGACTAGCTAGTTACTCAGATTAGCCTTTACATCATTAGTTATCTGTGGGTTTAAAGCCATCTTTACAAAATTAGAAGACAGACTCTTAAACACTGGCTCAAATGTAAAAAGATTCTGAATATCAAAACTAATGCAAGCTTCCTCTTACGGAGGAGTGCCAAAACCGGAGTTATTTGTCACTTGCAGCATTTGTGCACCTTGGCATAACGCAGCACTGACACATTGCTGACTGTCAGACTGACTGACTATCAACATGGCTAAGTGCATCAAATAATATATGCTGGTTTGCCATTTTTAAAAGCATGCGATAAGTAAATTGTATCCATCAAAATGTGGTTCATCTCCGAAATTAACCCCATTAACAGAAACCTTCAAAGTGTGACAGAATCTGTGGGGACAGCAGTTGCAGTCAATCAGTGCCTTGACTGTCCATGCCTCCTGATTTGGTGCATTCCACCAAGAAGCTTAGTGGATGACTAGAGTGCACATGATATGTCTGTTGCCTCCTCTCATGCAATTTTGTTGAGAAAATTACAATAAATTGCTGCAAAAAATCACATCAGCTGGTGTGAAAGAAACAGCCCAAACAGAAAGATGCTCAAATAAACTAACACAACCAAGCCGTCAAAATGTTTAACTAGAAATGACTCACAGTGCCTGTGCCTAAAGCACAGAAGTGGACAACATGAGTCTGTGCCTGTCCTGGTTTTTAGCTGAAACAGCTAAAAACAGGGTTTCTTTTTCAGTAGCTAGGATTGGGGGGCAAGGAAAAGGAGGCTTGTAGGTTGAGATAAGAACAATTTAATAATAGAGAGAAAACTTAAAATAATACTAATATTAAAATAGTAGAGATAATGATACCAGTAACAAAATATGCAAATAAGTGACACCCAATGCTGTTGCTCACCCCCTCCTGACCGAGCCCGGCCCGTTCCCAGATAACGATCCTGGAGGAGCAACAATCCCAAACCAAAACCACAATCCCAGAAGAGCAAGAGCCCGAGCGAAAGCCAGAGAGAGACAAAAGAGGAAGAGACACTCACTAATATAGTGGACATGACGGGATATGATATGGAATATCCCATTGGCATATCTAACTGTCAATTAAGTTTATTAATTTAAATATTCTTCACCTCCCTTAAATCTTGTGCTTGTGGACTAACAGAACACAAAGTCTTTCACTTCCAGTGACAAAAATGTAAACATTGGTATGTTCTAAGTGTCTCGCTCATAGCAAATCCCAGGCTGAAAGCAAAACGCAGAACAATTCTAGGTACTGAAAAAGAAACCCAGCTCTGTTTCAGCTAAAAACCAGGACAATGCCCTTGCCCATACTCACTATATATTAAGTTTCCACATGAGACAAAACACTTGTTTTCTTTTTATGAGCTTCTAAGTCTTGGAAAACATTTGAGCGCATGGGTCTAGTCACCTACAGCTAACACGAAATATAAAAGATTAATCCCAAAGGGATCTGGTTCACAATACAAAGACAAAAAGAGGGGCGGCTCAGAGATGTGCTCTACCGTTTACAGGACAGCATCACATTCACTTCTACGAACAGTTTAAATACGGATACCAGAGAAATGCAGCTGAAAAATTTAGATCCAAGTATTAGGAACCGAGTCACCAAATCCTGACACAACACATTACCTACCACAACACAAACTGGAATGGCTGGCAGTCGATACTAATACCATTTATATATTCATGCATTTAGGAAACAAATGCTACAGCAGTAAAGAGAGGCTAGGACATAGTACAAGTATAAAACATGGACAGATTTCTCTCATTAACCACGAGGGAATGGAGTAGCTGGAGAAGCTCCTCTAATGGCAATTGGGAGTAATGGAACCAACTGTTAGTGGCTATAAAATGTAACATGTCTCTCGAAGACATGCTTTCATTGCTTCCTTTGTGAAGATTCAGACTTTATTATGTAGCCAACCCTCAAAGTCATGACTGTAAAAGGCATATGTACAAGAAAGGATGATTAAATATTATACATGTTTGCAAAGAACAAGAACAAACAACTAGATATTAATCCACGAGCTTTGCATTGTTAATTTTTTATGCCACAAAAGGACTAGAAAGGGCAATGTAAACTTTTACCTTCTACCCAAGCACTGGAAATCTGTAAGCAGACCTAGTTATTTCCCGGAATAAAATTCAGCGTCAGACTTTACCACCTCAGAAATTGGAACAAATACATTTGAATACACTGAATTCTGAAAAGCTACACTCAGAGAAATATGTCTCACAGCTTTGTTGTTGGAATAAAAGTGACTATGTAATAAGTTCATAAAATTTGTATCTCATATGCTTTATCCTTAGTTACTGAGAATTATGTAAAAAAACAAATCCAAATAGTCATTTGTAACTGTAGATAGCTTAGGCCAAGATACCAATACTCCATATCTAATAAAATATATGCACAGATACATTTAAACATTTAAAGAAAACAGAAGTTTCTATGTGAGTCCTGAGTGAACAGCTTTTTCTTCAACAGACAGGCAAAACCACCTCTCAAATTAGTACTCCCTAATTACAGTTTGCAAATACAGGTTTTGGTACACATGTGGACATCCAAACCCAACCAAATTCTTATTAATTTTTTGTTATCTCTACATACTCACCGCATGGTCTATGTAAAAAACGCTGAAGTGAATCAAGCTGGAACTAAGTTTGGAGGACAAGTCTTTTAGGATATAACACACTGAAAGTCTTGGCAATACCTGTAACATGGCTATGTTTTGCTAGAGCCTTCCACATACACTCTATCACACACACCATTTTTCAGAATTAAAAAAAAAAAAGAAAAATGTAAACAGGGATAGAGACAGGAAAAAGTGTTTAAAGGAAATCTTGAGCAACTGACTGGGGGAATTTTCCCTCATGCCATACAGGAAAAACGGTTACAGGTAAGGATTAGATGGTTCCTAGAAGGCCCCTGGCAAAGAAGAGCTCTGTAGAACTAAACTCAGAACACAGAAAATGCTTTTCTATGAAAAGGAGCAACATATCTAATACAGTGGTGTCTGTAAAGCTACACGGGAGAAATGAGGGCACAGATATTCCCTCTATTTCAAATACCCTGAGGTCAAGAAAAAAAGTAAGGAAATGGAGTGATGAAGTCAGGGAAAGATGCACCCTGACCTTTGATGGACAGTCCATGAGTAAAGTTTTGATTTCACAGCAAATTGTTTGTATTGTAAAAGGTTTTAAACAATCCAAGCCTCAATACGTTAAATCCTGCCTATATGCATTGAATTAATATGACATTTGCACAGGTTTTGGGCACATAGATGCACCTATGACAGGCATTCTTTTGAATGCTACACAAGAACTTCAGTCATACCTAGGAGACTCTGTGTTTGTACATTTGGCTTTTGATTACCAAGTGATCTTTCAACACATAGGAACTCTCAACTGAAAGACTTTCCACAAATGCTTATGACCAAATCCTGAAGAACCTCTACAGAATGTAAACTTGGTTGAGACTGCTTTAACCAAGTTGTTTAACAGAAGGTGTCTTATTATCTTCGAATTACTTCAATCATATTAAAAATCACATTTGCTTAAAAATACAACAAATACATTTTAGAGCAATACTTACCTTCTGACTGTCATGTTCAAAAGTTGAAAACCAATGTTCTGCAGTTTTCATGAGACGTGTGAACATTGCACTGAAGGGGAAAACCCAGAAACTTGGTGTTAAATAATGTATTATAAATAAGAGCAAATTAAAGGTAAAGGAAGTTGTTAAAACTTACTAGGCATCATGTTCCAGATATTCAGGATTCAAAAGAACTTTCATTTCCTCGCTGAAAAAGGCAACAGTGAACAATCCAAATGTGAATGTTTATTTTTGGTCAGCGTTCTGCATGTACTATTATGTATTTATAAGCCAACTTTCATATAAAGTGCAAATGAGAAAACTAGCCTTTTTAATTAAAAAGAGCAACTCCATTGAACAAATGAAGTCTTTCCTTTTTATAAAGATCAAAAACAAATTAGCTGCCTTGTCTGCACTACAATGAAGTAACCATCTAATTATTCCAAATAACAAATTACTGAATGTCACAATGTATTATTTGAATATGCTTGATCTAGAATAATTGATTGCTGCACAATCTATCACTGTTTGTCCCAAACAACAACAAAAAAAAAGGTTACTGGTCAAATATGCAGTATCAAAACATTAATTTATTTTGTTTTAATAGCCTGTATTTTTATTGTACTTTAACAGCAATTAATCAGTGACAGCACCTCTTTTCCATCTACTTTGCTGCTGAGCTCTACTTTTTCAGCAGAGATAGAACAGAATGCTGTGCATAACACATGGTTATTTCATCTTCTAGGTACTTTCAGGATATCTAAAGACAGATATTGAATATAACCACACACTTGTAAATAATCTCCATCCTTATGCTAATACTGTCTCTGGACAATCACATTGAGGGGTGCTGAAAGAGGTTATATTATATAGTACGCATAATTAAATTGGCTTTTATTCACTGCTGGACTCCAAAAGTGCTAAAAGACAAATGAAAACAAATTACCTAAATATCACAAGTGATACAAAAAGGCAACTAGTTGCTTTTTCTTTTTATAGAAAAAGCTTTACATACAGGGCAAGAAAAAACATCTGAATTTGGCTGGCAGACAATCATATGTGATGTAATATCTAATACATATGTGTATGATGACATGTACACATACACACGGTTTGAGTGAAATGAAGAATCAATACGTAAACTTAATGTCACTGTCAAATCAAAGGATAGTCAGATATTGCATCTACAACATCGCAGGTGACGAAAGAAGTATCAACCACAACAATTTGTCTACATTGATTTTTTTCTCTTTTAAGATATGAGGAAAGAGCATTGGTAACATGTCCATTCTATGACTGTAGTTCTCTAATCTGCCTCATGTCTGCAATGACAAAACCAAAACCACTTCTGGCAATAAGATTGAGGTGAAATGGTAGGTATTTAAGCTTTCTGATAAAGGTTTTCCTTTAGGTTTCTTGTTTCCTCTTTTTTCACCAGCTAATATCTGTGAAGGGGCCAAGGTCTACACTTTTAATTCTTTCAGAAGCTGTAGTAGGGAAAATGAAATAAAGACATTCCCATCAAAGCACAAGGGTGCAATAATTTGTGATATCAATTTATTAATTATAAACAAAGAATTAAGGAACTCTAGTTCTAGTGCAGCCAACTTATTTTTTAAAGAAAGTGGATTTTTAATACTATACAAATAAAATACAGTGCTTGCCTTGGTTGTGCAGCTTCACTGGCATGTGAAAAAGCTTGGTGGTCGCAATGCAGGATAAAGACAATGGGAGCTAAAAGTTCATGCATACCCTAAACAGAAAAGGAAGCAAAGGTATGGTAAGATTTTCCAGACATATAATAGTTCCTAACGCATAGCACCAGGCAGCCAGCAATATGAGGTGCAGACTAACTAAAGCATGAACACTCACATTCTTAACAGAACAGTTTCATAATCAATGGCCTTTATCTTAAATTCTGATTAAATCCAACCATTTGTTCTTCCATAATATACAGAAGCAAGTTATTCCTTTTTCTAACACAACAGACAACAAATTGGCAATGGTAGGCAACCCTGCACCTGGCAGTTTACTCCAAGATCTATGTTCATAAATATTAATTTTATTTATGATAATTACAATCATGATCCACAGTACAAAGATTTGCAATAGGGACAAATTACAAAATTTAAAATTATTTTTTATTTCATAATGTTCCAAAACCATAGATAAAAGCGTAACAGTAGCCTTCAGAGGAGACAAGGGCAGCTATCTGGGAAATCAGAAAATGAAACCTCCATTCCTATGGACATGAGAAATGAAATGAGGACCAGAAAAAGGGCAGGAAGATGTGCCAGGGGAGGTTTAGGTTGGACATGAGGCAAAGGCTCTTCACCCAGAGGGTGGTGGAGCACTGGAACAGGCTCCCCAGGGAGGGGGTCATGGCACCAAGCCTGACAATATTCAAGAAGCATTTAGACAACACCCTCAGACACATGGTCTGAATCTTGGGATTGTCCTATGCTGGGGCAAGAATTGGACTCGATGATCCTTATGGGTCCCTTCCACCTCACAACATTCTATGATTTTTTTTTTTGTTATGTCAATATTAAAAATAAACTCATTAAAACACAATGCATAGGTACTGTTCCATTACAGACTATTACTTATACATGCAATTTATATCAAGACACAGAAAAACATAGAAACATGCAGGAATCAGAACAGAAAAAACTGGTGGATAGTTGAGGACTTGGGCCAACATTAGAACCATGGCTGGGCCAACCTTTAAAATTATTAAATATTATTAAAATTTAATTGTTAACATTTATTAAAAACGGGATTAAACCCAATCTAGCCACTTGATTTAAGGAGTTGATGTAAGATTTCCAAACACAACAATATGCGTTGGATTACAAATTGACAGCTTTAGATTTCTGAAAGCGTTATGGTCATACCAAGAGGGGAAGGAATAGGAGAGACAAGGAAACAGGTCCAGGATTAGACAATAATACAAGTGGCAAAAATATTTAAATAAACTGTAGATAACCTGGGTTGTACTTTCCTACATACTCACTTCCCTTGGTTAATTAACAGCTCTACGTCTAATCTGTTATTCATCCTGATACACTAACACGAAATAAGAGAAATGGCAATGCCAAAAACTTGACTATCTAATAAAACTACCACCTAAGCTGTAAACATATAAACTGAAGAAAAAGAAAGAGGACATAAAATAAGAATTAGTTATAAAAGATAAAAGCACATCATACATTCTTCCAACATAATAATATATCAACTTTATAATACAGTAGAATCATAATGTGGCTGCCCAGATACAACAAAAACAAAACAAACAGATGATGAAATATCAGGATTTCAAAAAGATACCTCTGATCTTTCAGTTACAAGAGTACTTCAAATGTTTAGAGATTTTAAGCTTGGCAAGACAAGCCACCAGTGCAATATGCATACACATATTTTTTCAATGCTGCAGTTTACTGAAACTCTTTAGTGTTAATAAATAAGTTGACAGAGCTCAGATAATTTTATGACACTTCCCAGCTACAACAAAATATTGATTTCATAATACAGCCTATTGTTTAGAAAGAAAACCAGAAATATAGCATTTCTAAAATGAAAAGTGAATCAATGCATTTTAAAATTGTATTGACTTCTCCAAGGGCAATCAAATCATGAGCGAACAATAGTTAGCCTAGTGATTTAGCTTAATTGCCACTATTTCTTTTCAGTGTAACTAGGACCAGAATTTTGGCACCAGTCTTACAGAAGAATGCTAAGAGTAATTTTTACATATTCTTAAGTACAACATACTATTCTTTTTAGATTTTATATTTACAGCTGCTATTTAAAAATTCAACTATCCCAGTGAGGATTCTGTCTTTAAAATCTGTAATGCAGCTTCACAACATTCTACTCCATTTGAGTAGGGACAGAAATATATTTTTCCTCACCAAATAAAATGTTACCTCATGCTGGTCAAAAAGCCACAAACCCTACTACAAAGACAACTTTCATGCATATATGCATATTCAACAAACATTATTGATTGCTTCTTGTAAGACTATATGCTGATGCTATGTAATAGTTTCAATAAAAAGCTGTAAACTTCAGATACACGTTATTTACATTTATATGTATGAAAACTCTTAAGGAACTATAACTTTTCCCAAGTATTTTGAAGGGGAAACATTTGGTCCTGTAAAGATGCTGAAAGATAGAAGTATAAGTTTTCATTTATTGGCCAAATGTTATAATTCTAATAGCAAATGTAGTTCTTGTATGTGGTAATACAAATGAGAGAGAGGAATTCTCACAGAGAACAACAGGACCAGTACCATTATGGATACCTAATATGAAAACAAAGTCCTTAGTTTGGGCTTTCTATTCAGGTCACTTGGAGGTGATCTGTTACTGATGAATTAATGGTAACCTTCATTACTTTAAAGAAAATATTCTAGGCTTTGAGGTAGTGGAAATTATTATGGGAACTGGGGCTTGAGTCAATGGTAAAAGCAGAACAAACAAAAACAGTAGGATAGGAAGATTAACTGCGACATAGGTATTTGCTAAAAGAGGGAAAAAAACATATCCTGTCACCACCACAACTCTACTATTAGCCAATTCAGAGAAGGGTACTGATGGACATGAAAGAAATGTTATCTAAAAAGAAAGAGACATGGGGACAAAAAAGCAGGATTGTTACTACTAAGCTATCAGGAGCATTAATTTAAAAAAACAAAAACAAACAAAAACACACTTTTAAAATGAGGTAAGAAAAAATAAAAGCTTCTAATAGAAGAGACACATGTCCACAACAAGAGAAGAAAACCACAATTACTTGCTATTTTGTGGACTTGGCACAGCACCACAAGACTTGGGTGATATACTGAAAACACATCAGAGTGATTAAATCAACAGTTTTTCATGATCCAAATTTATTCCATTTTCAGCATTTCACCTCTTCCCATAGTCCTGTGGTAACCCCTTCCTGGAATTACTGCACTACTGACGCAACAACAGTTGAAAAAAGAGGTAAAGAAGTTTTCTTTGTCAACAGCCTGTAGGCTCGCAAAATTGAACCTGTTCTTTTTATCTGCCTATGTTCATTTAGCCCACCAAGCAGTCTTTATTAAAGCTGAGGCATCAGGCAGTCAGAGTTCATTAATACCATTTATATAATCTCTGCAGTTTCAATTAACTCAGCAAGACATTCTACTACATGATAACAGTCTCATTAATTCAATAAAATCCCATAACTATTAACAATATGGTCTATGTTAAACGGGGTGTCACCTAGTAGAAAATAATAGCTTTAACAGCTTGTGATGAAACTCAGGGCTTTTTTTTTAAAAAATTTGATCTGGCTAAATATTCCATCCTTATGCAGAAAGGTATTATTTCTTGGTAAGGAATCAAGGGGATTTTAAATATGAGCAGAGGGTAATTAAGTCCTTTTAAGTAATATCAAAGAGTAAAATAATACTTCTTGTTCAATAAATGATAGACTAAATTAGCTGGAATGTGTTCTTCCATTTTCCCATCAACAGTACTCTGGCCTATATTCTCTAGAAAGCGGAGGCTGAGTACTGCTGAAGCATTTTCTTTAGCAATCCCTTTCAAAATACAGCTCACAAATCTCATTTTTTCTTGTCATCATGCAAGACTATTCACAGAATCACAGAATGGCAGGGGTTGGAAGGGACCTCTGGAGATCATCTAGTCCAAACTCCCTGCCAAAGCAGGTTCACCTACAGTAGGTCACACAGGACTGCATCCAGGCAGGTTTTGAACATCTCCAGAGAAGGAGACTTCACAACCTCCCTGGGCAGCCTGTCCCAGTGCTCCAACACCCTCACAGTAAAGTTTTTCCTCATGTTTAAGTGGAACCTCCTGTGTTCCAGGTTTTGCCCATTGCCCCTTGTCCTGTCACTGGCCACCACTGAAAAGAGTCTGGCCCCAACCTCTTGACACCCACCCTTTACATATTTATAAACATTAATAAGGTCCCCTCTCAGTCTTCTCTTCTCCAGGCTAAACAGACCCAGCTCTCCCAGTCTTTCCTCATAAGAAAGACACTCCACTCCCTTAATCATCTTGGTGGCTCTGCGCTGGACTCTCTCCAGAAGTTCCCTATCTCTCTTGAACTGGGGGGCCCATAACTGGATACCTGAAGAAGCCCTTCTTATTGTCCTTGACATCCCCAGCTAGATTTAATTCCAAGCACGCCTTGGCCTTCCTTGTTGCATCCCTGCACACTCTGACAACATCCCTATATTCCTCCCAAGTGGCCAGTCCCTTTTTCCACATTTTGTAAACTTCCTTCTTCTGACTGAGTTTTTCCAGAAGTTCCTTGTTCATCCCTGCAGGCCTCCTGCCTCCTTTGCTAGACTGGAGATGCAGCAATCTTGAGCTTGGAGGAAGTGTTGCTTGAAAATTAACCATCTTTCTTGGGCCTCCGTACTCTGCAGAGCCTTAGCCCATGGGATTCCTCCAAACAGGTATTTGAAGAGGCCAAAGTTAGCCCTCCTGAAGGCCAAGGCAGAAGTCCTGCTGACCCCTCTCCTGCCTTCTCCAAGAACAGAAAACTATAATTTCATGATCACTGCACCCAAGAGGGCCTCCAACTACCACTTCACCCATCAGTCCTTCTCTGTTAGTGAATAATAGGTCCAGTGGGGCACCTTCCCTGGTTGGTTCCCTCAGCAGCTGTGTCAGGAAGTTGTCTTCCACACACTCCAGGAACCTCAGAGATTGCCTCCTCTCTGCTGTGTTGTATTTCCAGCAGACATCTGGCAAGTTGAAGTCCCCCACAAGAACGAGGGCCCATGATTGCGAAACTTCCCCTAGCTGCTTGCAGAATATTTCATCTACTTCCTCATCTTGGTTGGGTGGTACTCCCCACCCACCCTCTTCTTCTTTGCCTGTCCTTCCTGTAGAGTTTGTAGCCACCCACTGCAGCGCTCCAGTCATACAAAGAATCCCACCACGTTTCTGTGATGGCTGCTATATCATAGTTCTCCTGCTGCATGGTGGCTACCAGTTCCTCCTGTTTGTTTCCCATACTGTTTGCATTTGTGTAGATGCACTCCAGCTGGGCTGCTGGTCCCATCACCTTGTTAGAGTGAGAAGCCACAATTCCCTTGTGATGATTCTTCGGAGCCTATGTGGCTCAAAGCACCCTGTATCTCCGCTGCTGCCTCGATTCGCATCTGTTACTTCCTCTGGGACAGCAGGCTGAGGGGCCTTGCTTGATGCAGCAACCATCAAACCTGGGTGTACTACCCCCACACTCTGCTCCATTATGCCTGGCTTCCTCAACTTCCCCCTTCACAGTTTCTCAAACATGAGAAATAATCAGCTGATAGAGATTTCATATGTTTGATAACTATATATTTGATTTTTGATATAACGTGCAAGACAGTTCTTCAGAAGTAACTGTTCCTTCAACTCTTATGTGTCCTTTTTTTTTCACAAAATACCACTTATTTCCTGTCTTGAGGACAAGATGGTCATAGACCATGCCTGAAAGCACAGTGTCTTATAAAAATCTTCACATTTACTGAACCTCTGTATTTTTGTCACAAAAAAAAAAAAAATCCTGTCTACCTAAAGTTTGCTGCTCTACAGTTTATCCTTTGTCCCTGTACACTGTATCTCTCACTTTGTCAGTCTCTACTCATCCAGAACAAATGTTAAATTAATTTAGCCTGCATCCCATACGGATGCATAGTTAGAGCAGTTTTAAGGCTTTCTGTACTATTTTATAAAAAATGGTTTAAGAAGGCTCTCTTTCAGGTAACACTGTAAAAGTGGTATTTGTAGCACCCCTATCCTTTAGTCAAGAGGCACTTGTCAGCTGCATTGTATTTGGATGCTACAGGGTTGGATGAGGGATCTATTCGCTAATGTATCACATGGCTTTAAGACTTGGAAGAACTTCAAATATTATGGAAAACTTAAAATAGTAAACTCCCTAAATTTCATAAGTCACTATTTATGTTTTTTGTTACTCAGTACCATAATCCTGCTGCATACTTTCTTTTTTTACCTACGCAGAGAAAGCCTTTCTTTTTCTTTTTCTTTTTTTCTTTTTCTTTTTCCTTTTCCTATTTAACCAACACTGAAGAAAAAGGTGCTGTTTATAAAAAAATTTGAAGTTAGACAACTTGGCAACCTGAAAAAAAAAAGCAATTTGAGGGACTGTGTTATGAGGAAAAAGCATATGTTATTCAATGAGCTTACTTTTCTTACTACCCACCTGACAAGCAGCAATTCGATTACTTTAGCATTATGATACAGCTTCAGATACAACAAAACTACATTATTGTCAAACCGTATAGAAAATGTCGAGTCAATGAATGCCACCTGTACAGTATTTTCATTACCTGTTTATAAAGCAACTGCTCATTTTCTCTGGCATAGCAGAACAGAACATCTGTAAGAATTTTCCTTACATTCTCTTGCTGGAAATACTGCATTTCAGGAAAGCTGAAAATGAAGAAATACAGTGGAAGTAAACAATAGAGCTCACAGAATTTCAGTCACTGGTCTTCTAGAAATGATTTTAGGCAAAACAGCACCTCCCTTGTCTGCTTTCCCAGTGCTCTGTGAATTGTGAGTGCTGCTAGCATAAGGATACTTCTAAAGACTTGTTATATTTGTTTTGCAACCAAAATTCTGAATCATGTTCTTTAAAATTCATCAGTCTGTTACATGGCTATGATGATATCACCAGTTATATTTAAATATGTAATCCCTTTTAACATTATGAAAGATAGAGATCTGTAAGAATGAAATACAATGGCAGATTGTTTTAATTGTCAACTTTTTACAAACAGTCGATCCACTGAAAATGAAAGACTTGGAGAATCTAATAAAAATAAAATGATGTACCATATCAGTACATTCCCAACTGGCTAAAGAATCAAGTTCCTTTCCTCCTCCATGCCATGGAAATAAGCTGATTTCAAGCAGAATGAAAGGAGAACAGAGGGAGAGGCAATGATTGAAGCAAAGATCTACCCTCTCCCTCCTGCACAACGACTCTTACTGTCAAACCTATCAGCCCAGAAGACTGTTCAGATTTACAGTCTGTAACTTATTCTGAAGCAACTCCCACCTGTGCATCCTGCTCCTTGAGAGCTGGAAGTAGGAAATAAAGTGGTTTTGTAGGATGAACTTTAACAAAAAAGTGCAAAACCAGAAGTGTTTTCATGCTTACTGAAGAAGTAACTAGATAATAAAAAATACTTCATAAAGCAACCACCCCAATGCACATCCATCTACATGGAGCAATAACAAATAAATTTTAAAAGTCTGGAAAGGTATAATACCAAAAAGGAAGGAAAAGATAAATTTGGACAAAGGAAAATAGAAGAATACTTAAAAAGACAACAAGAGTAGGCTTTAGGCTAGATTGCTGAAATAAAGGCTATAGCATTGTCAGTTTTAAATGAAATCACATGGATTGCAGGTAAGTTTTCTTCAAGCAAATTTTATTTTTCCTGCTTCCTAAGCCTGAGCTACGATGCTAAACTTTGGACCAGTTATATTAAGGCTGTTGTAAAGCCTGTCATGGAGAAAAAACATAGAGAATTATAATAAATTACTTCAGATAAAAACTATTAGTGTTAATAATTACTGTGGTCATCTCACAGCGGTGATGACAGGTAAGCACAGAAACATAACTAATTAAGGCTAGAAAGGTGCTTTGAAATCCTTGGATGAAGGACCTAAATCAAGAGCCAAGGCAGAAAAGACACCGTAGCTTAAAGGCAGCAATGCTGAAATCCTGAGAAAGGCATTGAGATGAGGGGTGTAACGTTTTCCTGGCACCTGGTGGGGGTAACGGTAGACCAACATTTGGAAACTTGTATGCACTTGTACTAATCATATTACTGTAAAGGAAGGACACAGCTGAGACCAAAAGTGCATTACAGCAGATGGCAATCGACATAATTTAGGAGTTTGAAGAGATTATTTCTGAAGGACTGTTATTCAGGCCTGCCCTATGAAGTTCAGGAAGAGAAGACTAACAAAGAAAACTCAAAAATACACAGAGATATCTGTGAGGATCTAGTAATACCAGAGATTGTGACAGAAAGGATAATAACAAACTCAGGAATAAGCTGGCTGAAGTATTAATTATAGTAAATGTAAATACAAGAGATCATGAGGGAACTATCAGTTCAGGATGGATTTTTATGGAGAATTAAATTTTATGATTAAAGCACTGTTTAAGAAATTCAGCATCCTCAAATCAGGTAAGGTAAGAATACTTTTAATGAACGCTAGAATATTGCATTTAATTACATTTCTGAGGACATGGGAATTTTGCTAGAATGTTTTACCACAACTGCTACAATTAAACAATGGGTCATCCAAGTCCCTGCTTTCTGAAAGTGAAGACCAGTGCAAGTTCAGTTATCATTTCTTACAACTACTTTTAGCCCAATTAGGGGCCCCTGCACCAGTGGCAGCCAAGCTTTGACACAGAAGAAACTTAGGGTGGCAACCAAATAAAAGGGTGCACAAATACTTTATGAAACAAATTTGGTGTCAGACAGAAATGAGGCTCTTAACCACAGCCACAGAGTGACCATCTTTTCTCTCATCAACGGATTCCATCCCTTGGCATTCCCCAACTGTGACTCAGCTGGAATGGAGAAAGCTACTAAACCAGAAAAAATGAAAGATGCTTTCCCAGCTGCAAAAGCTTGGTAAAGAATAACACCTCCCACTCTGCCTCATTGCTCACTTTTTTCTAGAAAAGGAATAAATTGGTGTACAAAGGTAGCTCTCCTTCCCGCAGTCACTCCTCTTACATGGAAACTACATTTTGTCTCCTCTGTTCATACTCAAGAGATTGCATTTTCTTCTCATCTCTTCCATATGCTTAGGCAGGATGTAGCTGCCTAATGGGTTCTCCACTACCTTTTTATAGATGGTTTTTGTTTTGTTCTTTGGGAGATTCAGAGTTTGAAACAGCAACACCTACCACTACTCATCTTCACACAGCTTCCATTGTCCTAATCTGTGATTGCTACTCCGGAAGAAGAAACTAGGTAGACTAATATATAAAAACACTACCACAAAGTAAAAGAAATCCACTTGATTAGTCTACTAGAAGTGCCCCCTAAGCATTTTTTTTTCTTAAAAATACTGGAGAAAGATGGTTGTCCTGGTTTTGCTAGGATAGAGTTAACTTTATTCTTATTAACTAGAAAAGCTATGTTTTAGTTTTCGAGTAGGATTTGTTATGTGAAGAATGTTGATAAGGTACTAATGTTATTAGTTGCTACTGGAGCCCAAGGCCATTGTGTTTGAGTAGTTTTCATCTGCTGATTTCTGTTTCTGCAGAGTATTTTAAAAATTCTTCTTTATCACTTACTTACCTTTTTAATCATCACAAAATAGATCACCATTGTAGCATTGTTCTTTAGTACATCTTTTGAATGACAATAATTAATCATTGCATTCT